GGGGAGAGAGAGAGAGAGAGGGGGGGGAGAGGAAAGGGGGAGAGACTCAAAGATACCAACTTCGTGTTTCAACATTGCGACGAGAGGGTAGGTGGCAGTTACGGGGTGAGGTCGCTGGAAGCTGCCTTTGACGGGTCGATACTTGGAACAGAGCACACGAACGGAATCCACGGTTCCGCCCATCGAGCCGAAACATCAAAATCGTCATCGTTTTCCTATCTGCGATGTTATCTCATCGATTGAGATCTGTGTTTGTTGCATACAAAAATTAACGTAAGAGTCTAACAATAAGTGTGATGATAATATCTGTAAACATATACTAACGAAACCTTCTATATAGCAGAACAATACGATTGCTTATATCGGACGTTATTTGATGCTTGATGAATTAGACACGTGCCTCAATTTGTGCTTTTAAGAAATTTGTAAATGATAAATAAAGGCATGCAAAACCGATATCGACACCAAGACTAACGGCTATTTATTTTAATAAATTTGAAATTATGTCAATTTTCCGTTTTATTCAAAATGACTGTATCTATATTATTCTTTTTGGTATTTAAATGCAAAGTTCTAGATATTTTAAGTACGTTACAACATCGATTATCCCAGGAATTCAGCTTAAATGTGTGCTTGCTTTCTCTCTTCGGAGATAGAAATGTTAATTTCTTATGTTGAACACAATTAAGTAGCAATAAAATACACTAGCTACGTATAGATTTTGAATAAATATCTAATAATCGGAATTAAAAAACGAAACCTGATAAAATTTAATTAAAATCATTGTAATATAACAATAGATCTTTTCGTGCGAATCAAAGCCTCTCGATGACACGTGCGCGCGCGGAAGAGCGCGAAACTGCGAAATAACGATATTAAAAATTCATATATGCACGATACAAAAATTTCTTCCTTTTTTCTCCCCGCGAAACTTCTTTTATTACGACGTAGCGTCCACTTTAATTTTACCCCGCGGCAGAAAAATTAACTCGCTTTATCATGCAAATTTTGTCCGACACAGCAGTGACCGCTACGTAGCATACTGGAACGAAGTTCCTTGTAGTAGATAAAACATTTCATGTCCGGAATGACGCCCCATATAAGCCGCGAACGGAATATTCGAGGACGAACGACGAGCTCGCATGGAGTGTGCGGCAGGTAAAATATGTTTCACTTGGAAAATGTACCGTCATCGACCATGCATAATAAATACTGGCAGCAGAATTTAGTATAGTCATGATTAAAACGAGTGACCTATAGGCGTTAGAATGGAAGCGATACAACGAGTGGATATAAAACATGGAAAAATTAAATTTAAATCTATTGACTTTATAAATTGAAAATTAATTATTATAGAATAATTTAAAAAGTGTGCATGTGCTATTGAATATTTCAGAATGTAATGCAAGTTAAAAAAGACGCTCCTTTAAAAGATAACTTTTTAGTGATAAATTTGCTTACAAATTAATAAGAAGTAAAGGGTTATGAGTCAAAGCACGTTATTTAATGCTTCAAGTAAAAATAAATTTGAATTACAATATAGACAACAAACGTTTCGACCCAAATAGGTCATTGTCAATGTTAAGACAAAAAAATTTACAATAATCTACAAACAAAATTTGGTTATCTTAACAGTCTGACAATATCATACGTTCGACATTATTACATTATGTATATACAAACTAGATTGAGGCGCAAAATCTTCAAGTTAGATGTATGTGAGTCCACGTGAGCGTATATTATAAAGTTGATGTTACACACTCTGTAATATATCCGCTCACGCGGATTCACATATATCTAACTTGAAGATTTGCGCCTCAATCTAGTTCGTATATAATGTAATAATTTCAAATGTATGATATTGTCAGACCGTTAAGATGACCGAATATATTGTAATTCAAATTTATTTTTACTTGGAGCATTAAATATCGTACTTTGGCTTTTACTTCTTATGAATTTATTATTTATTAAGCCGGATATTTCAATTTTATTTTATTTTTTGCTTACAAAAGTATTTCATTTAATTGGTTGCAAATAGAACTAAAATTGGTTATTAAACATTGAAATTCCTATAATCATCAAATTTCTACGATCGAATTGAACAGAAACGCGAAATTACTTTGTCCGTTTTATTACATTTGTATCATCGCTGTAGTCTAAAATCTGTTTTTGTAGGTATTTTTCATTTTTTAATTAAATAAAAAATATTTATTAAATTATATAATGCTGTTTAAAAAATAATATTTCTTTGATAATCATAAAAATAAATTATTCACAGAAAAACACACATACATGTTTGTAGAAACTAAAAACAAATTGACAGAGAAGTAATAACAATTGGAGAAAATGTATAATATGTGTAAAAATATAAAAGTATAAAATATAAAATATAAAGTAAATATAAGTAAATATTAAATTCTTTTAAAGAATTTTTTTATCTAATAATATTTCGTATATAATAGTTTATCGAGAATACTGCCAGGCTGTTTGCCAGAAAAAGTCTGAAAGAGAATTCACAATTATAAAGAAAGGGAAATTCTTAGAATTATGTAATATTTTATTCCACGAAGCGGCATTAAAAACTTTATGTTTATTTTCTATTTAGCAATAAGTTTATCATACGAAACAAACTTGCTACTTTTTTTTTTACAAAAGATGACTTTAATGCGCAGTAACATAAACAAAAGTATAATAAATCTGCATGTATATGAAGCTTTTTATAATTCCTCTGACAAAGGAAATAGTATATTTGAAGTAGCATTGCGGAGTTTAGTGCCTCGGTGATAAATGATACATGCACACATATGTTATCCTTTCCGCATTTGTTGAAAATACTCCATGTATCTCATACTTGGAGAAAACATTATAATGCACAATTTACATGATTATCATGTTGGAGAACATATTCGCTGTAAGGGAAAGGGGGGCAAATAGTGACAGGGGGCAAATAATGTCACTTTAAATTTCTCTTCTTTCCCGCGTTTATTTTACCTGCACTGCTCATAGTACTCGTTAATAGAAAGACAGTTCTCAAGCATCTAATCATTTTTTGAAAAAGTCATAAAAATTAAAAACCATATAGCTGGCGGAGAAATTTAAAAATTTTGCATTCGTGAAATAAGGTAAAACCTGGATTTTTTTTTTGATATTTGAAGTTATATTTTCTTAATTACTGAATCGTTGAATGAGATCTAACCTATTTTAGTTGCGTTCCGTTATTCACTGCGAGTACTGAAAATCTATAGTTTACGTTACGTACATACACTGTGGTTTTTCAGTGCTCGCAGTGAATAACGGAACGCAGCCTTTATGTCATACAATGCCTTTTTCCTCTATTTTGATGTAATTACTATTTATGCTTGTATATTAATTTTATTTCTCTCAGTAAAGTTTTAAAGGAAAAAGTAGCTCCTGAGGCAAATAATGACAAGTCAAAAAGCTTTTTTAATATTCGAATATGATTTTTCTAATTTATTTGGAATAATGTGAGATTAGTTACAAGGCAAGATTCAGAATAAATGTGATTTTCAATAAGAAATACTAGCAAATAATATTACTACTATTATTTATCAATACAAAATTTACATATGGCAGCGTATAGAAATTAATATAAATTACCTTATTTAATCAAAATGTCAAAAGAAAGATTGATTAAGTGTTAAGAATTATGTATTTTGTAATTGTCCCATAGGGTGTCACTATTTACCCATATAGAGTGGGGCAAATAGTTTTTTGTATATTTGAAAGTGGAAAGTACTCTTTTAATGAAAAATCATATTTTGTAGACTTGAAATTAGCTTGTAGGAGAGAGAGGAAAAAATTCCGCCACTATTTGCCCCCCTTTCCCTTACTTAAGTGCGTCGCAAGCATCGTTTGGAATGCAGACGCGCTCGGTTACAATCCGCAATTATAAATAGCTTCTTCATTTTGCATCAAGTTTACACTCGATCACTTCTCGGAAACGCGCGAGACTGCAAGATGAAGTTATCCAAGACTTGATAACAAAGATAGAATTACAACTTGTTGCAAAAAAAGTAATCTTTTACGTTTACATGAAGTAATCAACGACATACAGTTCATGATAAGTATGAATTTACAGAAAAAACAATGCTTTTGAATTTATAATTATAAAGTTTCTCGACTTTTTAATAAAAAAAAATAATGCGTTGTGTTATGCATATTGATAAAATTTAACTGTAAAATATTATTTACAAATAGAAAAATTTCGGTAAATTACGTAACTTGGAAATAAGCAAATATTAAAAAAGAATTAAAATATCCTGAAAGAGAGAAAAAATTTTGCTAATTTCAATAAATATTGATAAAACAGTTTTTCAAAGAAATTTTTACTACAAATAATCCACATTGTATAAGATTTCCAAAGCAATCACAATTAAAAATAATAAGGATTTAGTCGGATATCTCAGATTTTCATCATATGGTATCGCAAGATACATGATTTGTCGAGAGTTTTAGAAATTGGACGTATGTCAGTTTGTGACAATATCTCGGTCATGGATGATCGTGTACCTGTCACGGCTGTTCCAATGCCAATTAACTACTCTTCGTTTCTTGTCAACTGAAAGGCATTGATCCAAAGCGCGGTATGCGTCGTTCTGCGTAAAATTCGCTGCAAAATTCTTGAATTTCAATTAACTACGTCAAAATTGTACGTGCTTCGTAAAAGCTGTAAAGTCCGTTATTGTACACAGCATTTTCAAATTAAATTACAATTATTTTTATAAATATTTTTATGTAAATTGTAAATTGTAAATTCGATATCGCAAATTATTAAATAATTAATGATTATTATTATTTGAACAACAATATATTTATTCTGATTGTGAATATATATTTGCAGGTATTACGCTAATATTTCTTATAATATCTTTATTTTTACATTCTATGATTTTTTCTCGATAAACTTTCGACGTATAACACAATTAGTTCTTTAATATTTAGTGAATAACAATAATGAAATTGCATGTTCATCAGTTGTATTTTGTAACCGTTGAAGGTTTTCTTCGTTGCGATAGGACTATTCTTCTAGAATCTAGATCTAAAAGTATAATCCAATTGGCGAAGAGCACTTACTAAGCGCTCTGACTTCTGTTGAACACGACCAATAGATAACGATAGGCGATGTCTACGCGAATTTAATTTCCATTCAATTAATTGCCACGATGGCACAATCGGCTATCGATTGAAATCCTATATTCTATTAACAAGCGTTTCTAGGGCGACGCTGAACCGGTGGATAACAGCAGTCAACTCTTTCTATGGTAAGCTTGTAAACTCAATTAACTTATAGTGATTCCATTATACATGAACATTTCGATAAACTAACGCACCTTTTAATAAAAATTACAGAGAATATTTTGCAATCTTTCTCTCTCTCTCTCTTATTTTTATATAAATTCCAACATTCTTTAAATATTGCTAAAGTTTTGAGTTCTTGCAAGTGAATTATCATGAAGTTGCATGCTAAAGAAGTAGCGTTGGAAGATAAAGAGCAATTATAATTAAATCCATCGTGCGAGATTAGTTGCACGTGCGACGTAAAATCGTCGCGACACGCAAGCTAGAGAACGTTGAGCGACACGCGTAACAAAGAGAGAAGCCCACGCTAGAACGGGCGCAACAAGTGCATCCAGATTTCCGAGGTGTGGAAAGTACATAGCACCATCGCGTGCGTCTAAAAGTTTTCGCGAATAATCCGAGGGGATATTTTTCTTTGAAATTCCTGTCCGGAGCAAAATTTAAAAGATATAAGGGACAGCCAAACTCTTTAGATGCTTTTCCAAATTTGGAGTTTAGTTTGTTTGAAATTGATAAGAAACATATTTCGATTTAATTTTCAGTTTTAATTGAATTAAAAGTAACAAAGATTTCATAAAATATATTTGGATATAAATTGACTGAGCACGATATAATAAAAATTTTGAATACGAAATAGAAGATATGAAATATATATAAATTTCTCCGGAAAATTTTATTAAAAATACGAAATGGTATCTAGTGTGTATAAGTATATTTTGGTGAAAATGCAAATCGGAGAGTAAATTGAAAGGAAAATTGACAGAGAGATATAAACGAAATTTCTAGAAAGCGTAAATTTCGGAACAGCGAAACATGAAAAAAGCGTTTTGACCTCTTAAAACGTGTCTGTCACTCTTATTCGACATTCGAATTATGCTCCGATCTTTATTTTCGCTAGGATAAGTCATTAGTTAGCTGCAATAAATATTTTACATTTCACACAATTCTAAAATATACAGTACCTCCGAACTGGTCGAAGTTGTACTGTCGGCACTATCGGTATTAGCGATGGAAGAGAGGGGCGAGCGTGTGCCTCTTTGGGCCCATCTACCCTTAATTATCGCTACTCCTGTCATTGCACCCATTTTCGTAGCCGCGCTCCCGCTCGACGACGTGTTGCTTGACATGTTCTTGTCGCCGGCTGCAGTACCGCCGCTTCCGCCTCCGCCGCATAACTCCAGGACATCGCCCAGAACCTCTGACAATTTGTCCGGCACTTTGACGAACGCGTGCAAAACAACTGTCCGAAAATTTAAGGAAGCCGCGTGACGACGAGTCTTGTCGATTTGAGCGATTTACCGTACGCGTTTGCTATCGTTTCCTCGACGACGCGCGCGCGCGACTTTTAACGCACGGCGAAAACTCCTCCGGGATAAATAAAAGATGTCGATGACTCGGATCTGGGCGTAATCCACTTAATCGCTTTTGTATCTGTAAGCGTGAAACTTTTGTTTAGCGCCGCCGCTCGCGCGTGCTAAACACTTGGACGTTCGACGCGAATCCTACCACTTCAGCAATCAATTCCGGAGTACCTCGCGCGATTCTCGTGCAAACAGTTAGAAAGTTTACATTCGCATACGGAGTATTTGGAAAGTGGCGGAGTTCCTCAAACGATTGGGATAAACAGTTCCGAACTCGTCTCGACGTGGAATAAGAATTTCACAGAAAGTCGCACACGAATCTCCACGTCCTGTGATAAAAATCAATATTTATTTACTAGGCTTGACTATTAACGCGAGTGAATTTTCGCATAAATTAATAGTATAAGAGCTTTTAGGCGCTATTAATGCGAAGCTTTTATTATAATAGCATAAATATCACAAGCATACTGTATACTGAAGAAAGGTTTACCACGGTAGAGACTAAATTGATCGAAAGTGAAGATATAAGTCATTGAAGGCAGAAAACAATTAAATATTTAATTTGCTATATCTGTTATCAGAGTTGTGTGATGATTGATTCTATTAATACTGAAATAATCTGAAATAATCTCGTGTCGACAAATAGTATTTTCAATATCGCGTAGTTTACTTGTTATTATTGTTCACGGATATAACTGTCAATCAAGACCGTGATATTAATTAATGTAATCGTTTGAAGTAAAGATGCATTTGCCTGGGGTATAATTCGATTTCGTTAAATCAATCAGTCGCGTTACGATATTGTCGTTTGTGGCCGATTAATTATCTCATCACTTTACTTGGACCGATTCGGATGTAGCCCTGATAACGCTCTCGTCGCCAATTGAAATGCGATTTACACGATTAATTCGAATTTTTCTTGATTTGCGAAATCAGAGCGATGGAGAAGTTTATATTGTTAAAAATACAGATTTATGCTTTTAATATATTAAATTTTTGTAAGAAGAGTACAAGAAAGATAATTTGCGATAATCCATTTAGGTAGTAAATTTAAAAATGTAAATAATTAATGTATGCCATAAAAATATTATAAAATAATACGAAAAACAACAACTACTTTGATATTGAATAAAAGTCAGTAGAATGTTGAAACAATATGCAGTATATATTACAGATAATAATGATAATTCTGTATCACACAATATTTATTGAATACAGCTTTGTATTGTAAAAGATCGAATATTAATTTGACATAATTTGGATTTATATATTACGGAATTAAATTCAAGATGGCATGTGAAACTTTTCTATGTAAAAAGTGCAGCATCATTTCTAAGCTGTTAACATCATGTAATCAAATATTCGTTTATCTGAACATTTATTTTTTCTTTCGTAACTTCGAGTGTGTTTAAAAAATTATTACCATTATTTGTAGAATTCCCTTGTACTATCTTAATTTTTTCGAATGTCACGATTTCTAGATTTGATTGTCACGAAGGGCCATTGCGGTAGAAGGGTGTTCAATCAAGAAGAAACACTCTACATTGGTTTTCGATAAACATCGTGAAAAAGGAATAAGTAGTGCTGATGCTCCAAATGTCAGTAAAAAATTGATATTTATTTTAATTGACGTATCTACTTAGGTTTCTTAAAAGTATATATTATCATCTGGCTCGAATTTAAGTCCCTTAATAATTATGGTCCTTTCCTTGCATCTATCCGTTTTGCCCTACTTTTTACAAATTTATATATATATATTTTTGTTTGATAAAAGTTCGCCTCCCTTCGCTTTTCACAATCGTCACTCTCGGTTAATTGTGTATAAAGCTGAATAAAAGGATATCTAATTTCATTACGGTTCAGCGGTCGTGCACGACCGCAGCTCATTACTCTTTTCGCGGCCCGATCCAATTAATTTTATGTCACAACTTGTCTATTCTATCTTTCCGTCTCCCTACCTAAGGACGAGACGAATGTCTGAACCGTAGCGGATTACGACTACTTATTGTTAAGACGCCACGCTGACCCGATTCATCGTCGGTCGTCCAAGTGGTAACAAGCGGACAGCTTCGGTTTCACGACACGCAGTAATGATTAATTGTGTATTCTTTACCCTCGTTGGGATCTCGGAATATCAGTTGTTTTACAATTGCGATTATCACCCAGTCACAAGACTAATTTCATTCCAGCACTCTCGTATACGAAAATATGGGATATTTTTTTGTCGACTTTTGACCCCGTTCTCGGTGCGTCGATCACGACTTGACATGGATGTGTGTTACCGGGTATCACCGTGCCGCGATACTGGGCTAGCCCGACTGACTTTATACGCGCCCGACCAGTGCCAGGGCTCGTCGTGCACCACCAGAAAACGACGATTCGCCGCTGAGCGTAGCTGGTGGCTGGGGGTGGTGGGCGGTCGGTTTCGCCACCGAAGGGTGTAAAGAGAGAGGGGAGAAGAGAAAGAGAGAGAGAGAGAGAGAGAGAAGTGGGAGAGAGAAAGAGGCCCTTAACTAGGGATAGAAGACGGAAGAGAAGATGGATATCGGGCACGAAAGTGAGACAGGAAAGGGTGCGTGCGCCGCAACAGGTTACATCTCAGGGACGACAACGATTTTGGGGAGAAGGATGAATTCTACTTTCATTTCAGCGATGCTTGCTGTGATGACGTATGTTAGTACAAATTAGAGAATTAGGTTGAATAAATAAATAAATAAATAAATATTAATTATTTGTTTATAACGCACAATAACATTGAGTCATAAAAAAAGTTTGATTTCATATCTATATTGAGATATATCAATGAAAAAGTTTTTTATTTTATATTTTAATTGTGCGTATCTATATTATTATTAAAGTGCATTTTCATTTTATAACCAATTTTATAACGATAAGATTATTGTAGATAAGAAATAATGAAAATAAAAATTGTAAATTTGTGATAGAATATTTTTCTGGGTCTTTGTAAAAAGATCGATCGACGTGTGTAAATGTCAAATAGCGAATATTTGATAACAAATATTTAAACAGTAAACATTTAATGGCAAACATTTAACAGAAAATAAAAGAAAATTTAATTTAAGCTGTGAGTTTCTCAAAAGTCATCATACATTACGCAATTTCACATTTGTTTAAGAATTGGAGTTCCCTTACTTTTCAACAATAAATTATTCTTGCTATTAAATTAGATTTCTGTTCAAATAAGATTAATCAAATTTTAGTTCAAGGTTCATCTAACGATTATAGTAAAGATCTTCTATAACTCAATTTGCTAAAAGACTTTCAACTAATAATTATGTCTAGACATTAACCAGGGACATATTAAGTTTATTTTATCGATGAGAAAGTCTAAAATAAATATAATTCTTCTTAATTTGATCTACAAAAGGTGGGATTAGGAAGAACTGCGCATCACATACGCTATACAGACCATATATATGCTCGATAACTGTTCTACCTGTTCTGTTCATAGTATAGAGATTCGTTATACAAGGACGATCTATATTATGAATCATACAACAATCAGAACATTCCATCGAATAAAAGTTTAAATCTGTGCTTTCTTTTTCTTTCTTTCTCTTTCTTCCTGCCTGTGTCTCCCTTCTCTCTCTCTCTCTCTCTCTCTCTCTCTCTCTTTCTCTTTCTCTTTCTCTTTCTCTTTGTCGATATATTTTTCAACTTCTTTGCGATCATGGCAATGGGTATAAGCATAGTAGGCACGCAAACTATGTTATTGATTGTAGACGAGTTGTTTTTCTTGGACTATTTTCCTCACAAAATGCAGCGACATTTGAACTACAAACTTATATTACTATTTTGTTGATTTATAAATAATATCACATAAATGAAGGAATAATATTTATTATTTAGAGAAGATACTTTTCTTTTATAAAAATTGCTTATTATTAATAAAACGATATAACTGTCCAATGTATAACAATTTATTGGAAGTGCTTTTTAACAAAATGAGATTGCTATAATGATGGCAATATTTAAATTTAAGAATAGGTATCTATTACTCTGGGGCGAATCAAGTAATCTCGTGTCTTCAATATAACAGAGTATACTATACATTAACCTAATTACAGCATACCTTCAATACAATCTGCATATAATAGAAGTTTACAATTTTGTAAATTGATTTGAACAAAAATTAGACAATAAAATATTTATCGTATGCTTTATATAAAAATAAATCGAAAGAATTTAAAATAATGGTGTCACTATCTTTTTTAAGGACTGATTGAAAAAAATGAATCTATAGATTGATATCTTTTTTATTGTTAGAATTTAATGCTTTTCAGGTTTTAAAAAATAATAAGATGATTGAATATTTGAAAACACCAAATATTTTAATTACAAATTGAACTTATATGCGGAGCGAGAGGGGGGAAGGGAGGGAGGGAGAGAGAGAGAGAGAGAGAGAGAGAAAGAGAGAGAGAGAGAATTAAGCAAAATAATTTTTTTATATAGCATATTATATGTATTATTATTTACTATGTAATCCAGTTTATTATAACATAACTAGTAGATATATTTTATAAAATTTAACACCCTATTAAAAGGATAGGATTTAATCAGTTTTAATATTCATGTTTGTAATAATAAAAATTGTTTTTTTGACGTTTGTAACAGTGTTGATAAATTATAAATTATATATTAAAAATAAAAAAGAACGTATATAAATATTAATATACAAATAAATGTAAATGTTTCTTTATATTAAGAAAATGCTGTTTTGCGAGCCATATATCTCTGACATATTATTCGTTGTTGTTACAACGATATCGATCGAAATTCTAGATTCAATATTCTTGTTCAGTATAGAGGGCTCTTTATAATGATGTGTACATACATGAACACATTACATATACAATAAACGAAATAATAAGTTTTTGTTAATCCCATTCTCATTTTGTTTATATACATTATCTGCACATTTATGATAGTGAGAATTATATTTTGGTTCATTAATTTTTGTGTAAATGTATGTAATCTATAATTATATTTTTTTGCACTGTTTGAATTAACATTTTGTTTATATCTATAATCCACGCGAATTTCGTGAAAAGTAGACAAAAAAATATAGATCACATCAATCGAATTAATAATAAATTTCAGCATTACATCGATTTGTTTACGTCGTATCCGTTTCCGTACATAAGAAGATTATTTTTTCACGATGTATATGTACATACGTACTTATATATACCTACTTCTTTTACAGAAATTTAATATTGAAAGTTAATAATTAATTACTTAATATTTTAAAAATTAAAAGCATTAATAACGTGTGCTTTTAATATTTAAAATAAATAATCCAATAATAGTATTACATTTTTGTAAGAGTTGGCGAATACAATAAATGTGAGAAAGAGAAAATTTTATACATCGAAACTATACAAAACTTTTTTTTAGTAAATTTACAATTGTTAAATATTATTAACATTAAATTATATTATGAACATTAAATATTAATAATTGTTAATTTATTTAATTAATAAGCTCGAATTACTAAAAGAATAAAAAATTAATGTTGCATATTTTTATAATTTTATGTGTTATATGCGTTTCGAAATTTTTAGGAATATCCACAATCTGGGCTGTGTCATATATTTGAAGATAAGTATTTGAAGACAGTGGCGTGACAATGGCGACACATTTAAAGATCAGCTCTACAGGCATTATTTATGTATTTACGTTATGATCTTTTTTTCATGTAGACAATATACAGTAATGCAAATTATTATAAATTAGATAAGACGATACAGAAAAAAGTAATTAAATTTTAAAATTGTAATATGTTATACCCAATTGTATTCAAACTAAATAAAATAAAATAAATAATTGTAAACAGAATATATATTTTGACATCTCTAACGAATCTATATGATGATCCATAAGTTATTGTTTATATATAAACGACACATTACATTGTATGGTCCATATTTTTAATACGATAGTAAATTATTTATGCGTAAACGCTCAAACCTGTTTAAAATTTATATTATCCTTGTGTGTGGATATCTTGTTGACATAAGGCAACATGTTAAAATTATGTTATCCTGTTGCGATCACATAAAATTCTATTTTTATCAACCTTTGGCTAAAAGAAACGTTTTACCGACATTTTCGTACTTTATACCTGTTTACCAGTTAAATTATCGACATGCTTGCGATAAATCAATAAAATTGTTGGCAAACACGAGAGCGAACTTTTGCCAACAACTGGTATCTACATTTTAAAATATATTTTAAAATTTCAAATGAATTAATAAAAGATAATTTTAATTTACTTATTAATATTTATTGTAAAAAATATCTGATAAAAATTGTTTCCTATAAAAATATACAAGTAAATATACAGCTAGGGTGATGAAAAATTAAGTGCCATAAATATGTGTAACAAAAATGGGAATCAATATAAGCATTTTAACCCATTAACGTCCAGGCGGACACATTTTTTGTAACAATTTTCAGTGGCTTAATTTTTTATTTTAATGGCCTTGAAAAAATTCTAGCAACATCATTTCTGATGTAAAATTTCTTGCTCTTTCTAGAATCTGCCATCAGAATTTGTCATAAACAAAGTCCAAAAAAGTTATAGT